TGGAGCATAAGCAGGAGACGGGGCAGCATAACAAAAGAACCCGATAGCATAGATGGGGAAACCTCGGGCATGAGAGGAGAACCCATGAGCATAAAACAACAACCGTGTCGGCGACGGGATGGAGGCATGGAGGTCGATGGAGACATGGAGGTGGCCAGCAAAAAATACAAGCCTTGAGCATAAGAAGTAAAACCAGCCCTTAGAGGACCCTATTGTATATATCGATCGATTTACACTTCTTTTGCCAGTTATGTACTTTCAAACAATCCGATCATCCGGCCCGTTCCGTTCAAGTCAGGCGTCAACTTCTTCAGACACATGCTGGATGGTGTCGTACCTCAGAAGCTGCCCGGCAGTACAAGGGTTGCGTGTGCAGGAAGCACTGCAAAGATAGTAATGGTGAAGGACAAGCATTCCCCATCAGCAGCTACCAGCGCTACCAACCGATGAAGCTCGTAAGGAAAACCTGGATGAAAGTGATCTGCAGCAAACGCGGCACTCCCTTCAGCCGCAGGCTCCCGCCACAGGTCGAAGCAGTCCGGCGGCTTCTGCAGAATCGGCTTGGGAAGCCTCGGTGCACAGCTGCCTCCCAGGTATCGCAAGCGAACTCGATCCGGATGCGGACATTGAGGCCCGTACGTGCGCAAGCCCAACTGCGGTGCAGTGGAAGACATCTGCAGATGGGCCTTGCCGTGAGGAGATAAAGGCTTCCAGGATACGGTCAAAAATGCCATTTGTGCTCTTCCAATGCTAATTGCTGCAGTCACCTTTGCTCGGGTTGATGTTGCTATGACTGCGATGATACTCCGGGCATGTACACTGCGCCAGCAAACGTGTGGTTGGTGTAAAAGAATGCAGTTCGACCATGGGCTGAGTGTCTGAAAACCAGGAAAAGTTCCCGACGAGACAAGGGAAGTCAGGAGCGTCAGGACGTGCAAGAGCTGAGGCCCTAGAGCACAATGCCTGCTTCGATGTCAAGACTGAGGAAGGGTAAAGATAAACAACTGAAGGAGTCATCTTCAGAAGCAAAACCACGACGAGGTCAATCCGGCCACTGAAAGAGGATTAATGATGATGATGACGACGATGACGAGAATCCAACCGGCTCTTCGCAGTGATGATTCTTGTTTTGCTGCCGAAGAGCGACTATTGTGCTATTTACTTCGCCATGCGAACCAGAATCCATGTGTATGTATGAATGAACCATGTATGTATGTACATACGCACACGAGACACTTACATACCGGTATAACCAAATCGAAACCAGTTTCAACCCCTGGCTCGAAGCCTTCGGCTCCCTTTACAGTAGTCAAAAGCAAGCAGGATCCATGAGGATCCCTGACCCCTTACTTAAATTTCAAACACGGCGCGCCCCGTCTTTCAACGAAACTAGAAGTGAGTCCATGCAGGGGCACCTTGCTTGGCTGGCGGGTGCTGTGGGTCGTCAGCGGTCTCGGTCCTGATGACCCAGGTGCTCTATCTGAAGGCTGAAACGATTTTTGAAACTGCCTTTTGCAGCGTCTGTGCTCTCACAACCCTGTTTCTGCAGGCTTGTCTTAGGGCTTTTGTCTCTTTTTTTGTGACCTCTTGCATTGCTAGGTCGAACCGGTTTGGTCCATCGGTTTCCTTTCCTTGTCATACCCGATTTCCCTTGATGAGCACTCATTGCACAAGTGTCACAAAGCCTTGCCCGTTCAAGGTCTGTCTGGACAAAGCCACGAAGGTCGGAAGATCAGCTGGTGAAGGCACGAGGCAATCGTAAAATGGAAGACTACCGCGTCTTCAAAGTAGTATTAATTTTCATGTCTTGCTAGCTTCAGCATTCAAACCGCACTACCAGCGCAATGCGCCAGACGTCAAACTGTGAAGTACCTCACTACTAGGGCCGTAAATATTAAACGGTGCGGTGTATATGTTCGTGTTTTTCGTAGGGTGAAACAATCGGGGCATGGCACCGGCTTCTTGGAGTCAGAAACGGGCTCGCCTGCGCACCCCAGACTTCGAGGAAGCGATGTGGAGCGGCCCTGGCAGATCTCCGAGTCAAGAATCGGAGATTGGTATGTATGTATGTATGTATGTATGTATGTATGTATGTATGTATGTATGTATGTATTTGTATGTATGTATATGTATATGTATGTATATGTATATGTGTATGTGTATGTATATGTATATGTATATGTGTATGTGTATGTATATGTATATGTATATGTATGCGCATATGTATATGCATATGTATATGTATGTGTATATATATATATACATAAGTACATAAATGAAGAAATACATCTATATATTTATTTATTTATACAAACATAAACACAGATATAATTATAGGGAAAGGAAGGGCCATTGAAGGTCATCCCCCGCCTGCTGTCGCTGGTGCCGGAGCTTCTGCAAGATGCCATCTTCGATGGCATCGAGGTCGTCCCGAACCAGCCTTGGGGAACTTTGGAGCTTCCAAAAAGCAAGGAGCCTCCACGCCGCATTCGAGTTGAGCCCATTTACTTCCCGCTGCTCTCGCCTAGGCATCGCGAGATCCTTGCGACCGCGGCGAAGAAACGGCGCACTGTGAGAGCGGGCCTACGACATCCTGGGTCTCTCGCTTCGGAGCCCTCGTTTAGGGCGCTCATGGCAACCTTTAGGGATTCCATCCTCCTGGGATTATAAGCAAGAGCTACACCACCCAACGACTATACAGGTTGACGGCTGGCAACATTCAGCACTCTGTGCTACCATTGCTGTGATTATGAGCACTAAAGCCAGGGGTGTGTCATAAAACAGCTTCAACAGACTGACCTTGCTATCCAAGATATGTCAGGAACAAAACACTAGAAGGCATTAGAGTGTTTTTGGATTGGGGGACTTGTGGCAACAGCCACGGAGGACCGAAGCTTTACCCACTCGTGTGAAACTGCCTTTTTGGCGGCTTTAGCCGGAAAAGGTGAGAGGGACAATGCCCTGTAAGGGGCCTGATGAATTAACCCCTCGCCGGAGTTTCATGATTTCTAAACTGGGTTCAACACTTGTTCCGAATGTGCTGCAGTTCAGTTCCAGACTTCTCCCAGGCTCAGGGGCTCGCCTATAACAGCCGGGGAGCTAATTTGGAGTAGGGACGCCTGTTGGCGTCGATGCCTCCCTACATAGTTTGACTCGCACTTCAAGTACGGCCATGTGCCAGCTTTTGCATGCAGCCAGGACTGCCTAGGAAAGCTGAAGATTTCCTGAAAAAGCCCGTGTGATGTGCCTGTGCCCTTTCGTGCCTATATTGGTTGGTGAACGTACGACTTATGCGGAAAAGGTCGGCCACTGGTGGGCCCTGCAACCTGCGACCTTAATTCCCACAACCTTTGGGCGCATTGTGCGATTTTACCCTTGCAGCGCCTCTCAGTCAGCTTCCCGCAGCCTTCAAGAGGCAACACTGCGACGCTGGCCGAAAACCCAGAAAGCCTTGGCGCCTTGGCCCTGGGAAACCTTCTTTGAGACTTCCCAGGAGGGGAGGCCTTGGCCTTCTCCTGGAAGTTGGTGATCGCCTGCTGATATGCCAGCCGCACGGCACGGAACCTCAGCGAAGCTCCGTCCCTGTTCATCTCCCACAACGAGGCCGAGAAAGCGAGGCCGAGAGACGTGTCATCGCAGCTCTGGAAGCCCTTGTCCGGATGATGGAGCAGGGCCAAGTCCCTGAAGGCTTGCCTGAGATTTGCTGAGCGAAAGCGAGACACCCCTCCCTTCAAAGTCTCCTTGCCGGGCCACTTCACTTCCTGAAGTGTGGCCGTTGCCGTGAGGCCCAAGACAGCGTGCCAAGCTCCTCCGGCCTGGCAAAGCAAAGCCCTGTGCACAACCACAGACAGGCTGTGCAGACTCGAACAAGCTCATGAGCCCCTCCCTCACCTCAAGAAGCCCTTTTCTCCGAATACCTAGGCCCGGATGCCCTCGCCCTCTAGTGACTCTAGTGACTCTAGTCGCGTGGCATTGCACCTCCTGGATCCGCTGCCTGGACTCCTCGGCTCGGCGCTTTTGCTGCCTCAGAGGAGTTCGGCACGGCGGCCTTGACCCGCTGGGTTTCTGTGGGCATCTGCCGCCGAGAAGCTCCAGGCGAAGGCGACGGCGCTCTGCCTGACCCGACAGAACTCCGGTGTGCTCCGAAGTTGCCGATGTGGCAGTCGCAGTTGCTACGCAGACGGTCTGGGCTTTTTTCCTCCGCTCAAAACGACGAGGATCGTCAGCCATGGAGGAGCTAAACTTCTACGATGCCTATGTACACCATTGCGGACACTGTGTCAGATCACGTCAAGGGCATTTCAAGAGAACTACGTGGCTAGACTCCAGGGCTCTAGGAAAAACGCTGAGTTCCGTCTGAAGCTAGGCGTGATCTGCGCACTTTCCTTAGGCCGGGCAAAAGACAGAACCCCAGTAGACACTTGAAGGGCAGGCCGCTTCCTGAAAAGGTCTTCTTAAAACCTACAACACAGAGGGAGATGGTGACTCTGGGACTCTAGGGCCTACTAGGGGCTCTTTCGGGCAGATCGGCCTCTGGCCTTGCGGGCTATAGCGGGAGGCTCGGGTCTCAGGTGGGTGGCCTTGGTGATGATACGCTTCCCAGTCGCCAGCTGCACGGTGACCATACCCGGATCCACTCGGAGGGGATCGGAGGGAAGGACGAACACAGCTTGGCCGTGAAACTCAGGCTTGTTCTTAAGGTGAAGGTAGACCTTCTGCCCAACCCGGAACTTGCACAAGGGCTCCTCAGTCTCTTCTTTCTTCTGCCGGAGAGATTTGAGAGCTGGAATGGTCTTGTCTCCACGCCTGGGATCAGCATCGGAATCTTCCGCCTCCGAGCCGCTGTCGACAGGCTTGAGCTTGTCGCGTCGAAGGGAGAGGTGTTGGCCAGAGCGCAACTCCACGGTGACACGTACGTCCTGGGCATCGATGACCAAGGCCCTCTGGCCATTGAACTCCACGGATCGTGTCAAGCCTTTTACGATGACCTCATCGCCTTTCTGAAGGCTTTGCTTTGGTTTCTGCTTCTTGGCAATCGGAGCGCAGCGCAGGACGTTGGAGAGCTTGACGGACAAGGTCTTGCCGCCAGAGACCATCTTGATCTCCACTCTCCGCTCGCTCCGCTCGCTCCGCTCGCTCTCGCTCGGCTCCTTGGAGGAGAAGCCAACCACATAGCCTTGTTGGCCATTGAGACCTGGTGTTTTCAAGTTTGCCAAATGGACGAAATCTCCGATACTCAGATCCTCTTCGACCTGCTCAGCTCGGCTCAGGAACTCGAGAGGTGGCAGCGAGTCCCCCGACTCAGAGCCCGCATCTTCGGCTTCGGCGTCGCCGGTGGCCTCTTCCGTCTCCTCTTTTGCTGCCGATTCCTCAACCTCCTGTTTCTCAGCCGCCGGCGACCCGACTGCGACTGCCTCCCGTGCGGCCGGGGCGCCTGAGCAACCTCTTGCAGCCGAGACATGCAGGTCGTAGGAAGGGGCTTCTGCCTCCTCCTCGTCTGTGTTTGTGTCATCCCGCGTGTCGAGCGGAGGCATCGAGCCGTCGGAGCTCTCAGACCTCTCCACAGGCGGCGGCGCCTCGGATGTCTCAGCTTCTGCTGCGTCGGGTCCCGTCCGAAGGACACCGTGCAGGGGCGGTATGGTTTCTTCGTCCGTGCTGTTGTCCTCGCACTCCTGGTCCTCCAACTGCGTGTGAAGAGGAGGCATAAAACCATCGGAACTTGCATCGCTGGGTTCATCATCCGGCGCATGCTCCAGACTCTGTCTGTCCTGATTCTCATGGCCCTGGTTCAGGGGTGGCATGGAGTCTTCGGAACTTGAGCTCTCTCTCGACGATGGAATCCGTTTCTGCACTTGTAGAACATGCAGTCTCTCAGCACTCTCCGCGGGCGGCGGCATCACCTCGGATTTCTCCGCATATCCTCCCGCCGGTCCCGTCCGAAGGACCCCGTGCAGGGGCGGCATAGTTTCTTCGTCCGTGCTGTTGTCCTCGCACTCCTGGTCCTCCAACTGCGCATGAAGAGGCGGCGGCATCACCTCGGACTTCTTCGCATATCCTCCCGCCGGTCCTGTCCGAAGGACACCGTGCAGGGGCGGCATGGTCTCTTCGTCCGTGCTGTTGTCCTCAGCCTCCTCCAACTGCGCATGAAGAGGAGGCATGGAATCATCCGAACTTGACTCGCTGGGTTCATCATCCGGTGCATGCTCCAGACTCTGCCTGTCTTGATTCTCATGGCCCTGGTTCAGGGGTGGCATGGAGTCTTCGGAGCTTGAGCTCTCTCTCGACGATGGAATCTGTTTCTGCACTTGTGGAACATGCAGTCTCTCAGCACTCTCCGCGGGCGGCGGCATCACCTCGGACTTCTCCGCATATCCTCCCGCCGGTCCCGTCCGAAGGATACCGTGCAGGGGCGGCATGGTCTCTTCGTCCGTGCTGTTGTCCTCAGCCTCCTCCAACTGCGCATGAAGAGGAGGCATGGAATCATCCGAACTTGACTCGCTGGGTTCATCATCCGGTGCATGCTCCAGACTCTGCCTGTCTTGATTCTCATGGCCCTGGTTCAGGGGTGGCATGGAGTCTTCGGAACTTGAGCTCTCTCTCGACGATGGAATCCGTTTCTGCACTTGTGGAACATGCAAAGGCGGCATCGCTTCCTCATCAGAGCTCTCTGTTGAGCTGAGGGCCAAAGCCATACTCCTGGGGCCTGGCCTCATTTCTTGGCAGAGCATCTTTCTCAGATCCTCTGTACTCTGCCACTGGAGGCAGAGTGCCTTTTCGTGGCCACCCTTTACGACAGCATGGAGGCCAGGCCGCAGACTTACTAGGCTTACGAGACTGTCAGGATCCTCACCACGGTGCTGCAAGCGTGAGGTTTCTTTCTCTTCAACTGACACCGTGGGAATCAACACCTATACACATCTAGCACAATCTGCCATCCTCTCTTTTGGAGCAAGAGCAGCAGACATTGGCTGGAATATGTGTATATGTACTGTATATGTATTGATAGATAGACATATATACATACATACGTACATACATACATACATACATGCATACATATACACCATCGTACATATGTACATACGTATATACGTAAATACATACATGCATGCATGCATGCATACTTACATATGTGTATGTATCTATGGATTCAGTCCAGAGGTTGTTTAATTGAGTCTTGGCTGGCTTGGCTGTCTGTGATTATCCATCTATCATCTATCCACCTATGTGCCTATCGGTTCTATCTATCTACATACACACGCATACAAAGGGACAGATGCAGGCCCCCTGTGAGAGGCGCGGAGGGTCGACGGCCGCCTCCTCCTTCTCGAGGCGCTCCTTCTCTTGCTCGGCTTTGCGCTGCTCCGCCTGGAGAAGAGCCGAAGGTAAAGAAACCCTCTCTTTCTCGGACTCAAGTGTGATCCGTCTAGGAGTCTACGAAACAGGGGACTACACAGCGCAAGGCCTCGCGCTCCTGCGCGGCATCGGCCTCGGCTTTCGGGAATCACGGAGCCTCCCCTGCATCCGAAAGTCTTTGGAGGCCGCACGCTCTTCGCCCGGCGCCGGGTGAGCCCGCGCTCCAGAACCGCTCGGCGCCTTGTTGGCACTCCCACGGTTCTCTTCTGTGTCTGCTTGTGGCTTCGCCATGCTTTGCCTGGCCTGGCATCCAACACCTCACTTCTGCGTCCACCTGAGGCGGAGGAGTCTCTCTCTCAAATAACTCCTTGGAGAACAGACTCCGGCCTCTAAGGTTTTCACAGCGAAGGCCGGGGCTTTGCGGCTTTCCTCAGGACCAAGCAGCCAGCGCTCAGCCAGCCACCACGCCCCAAAAATCCCGAAACCTCTAACTAAACCCCTTGGCACACCTCTTGCGCGGATCAAGTCACCAGGATCGGAGCCCAAGCTCAGCCTCTTCTTCCGGCACTCCTCTGAGACGCGCCGGGCCTCCTGATACGTAGTAGCGATGCCGAAAGGCACTCGAGGGTTTGTTGCTCTTGGGGTTCTGGGGCTGAGTCTTCTAAATGCACTGACAAGAGCAATCAAGGGAATTTGGCTCAGTCAGGTAAAGGATGGCAGTAAGTTGCTTCAAGGCTGGCAGTGGCACTACAAGTAGGATAAGTAGGACTCAACCACCGCAACATCACAGGCGCCGTGAGGACTACTGACCCGGTGACTACGATAACATTTTCACGGCTATAATTTCCCGGTCATCTGCACCTTGTTCAAACGGAACCCCAACTGGCTTTTTCGCTCCTCGGCCAGCCGGTGCTTCTCCTCCACCACCAGCAGCTTTCCTTTCAAGACTTTTGATGCCCAGTGGCCCAAACAGAAAAGGAGATCCTGGGCTCAGGGAATGAAATGCAGCCCAGCATCCCTGCGTTCGTCTCGCAGCTGCCTCTTGACGAGCTTTCTGTGCATCTGCACGCTTACGCTCCACCTGCACCATCTTAGCAGCAAGTTCAAGACTTACAGGGTGTCAAGGAACGTTGATGCATTGGTGCTGAAGCGGTGTACAGCTACTGCCACAGTGGCTCCGCTTCAACCTCGAAACGTACATGCGACCAGTTCCTGCTGAAGGGAGTGCAGTGCCAGGTGCCCTTCCTCGGGTATTCCTTTCGAACAGGATCTCTTCTGGAACCGGATCAGGACTTGAAACAAATCGGGTTGAAGCCTACGACCTCAAGAAGACTACAAACTTCAACTTAAACTTAAAGCCTTGTTATAGCCCTACATATAGACGCTAGACCCAAATAAGCCACAAATCTGACAACGTGATAACGCTGTAAAGCTTCTTACGAAGACCTTATCAAGAAGTATACCAACCCCATAAATTCCTCCAAACTCCTTAACTGTTTCTCCTTGTTCTTAATAGAAAAGAAGTGCAAATCCCAGGTTTCAAACAATCCAAAGGAAAGAGAAAAGCTCTCCAGGAGGCGACCTCGAGAGCTTCCTCGCGGCGGACCTGTCGCTTGGCCTCGGCTTGGCGGCCCTTGATTTTCTCTGCACATGTCATCCCTCGGTCAACTGTCTGTCTGTGTGTGTGTGTGTGTGTGTGTGTGTGTGGGTGTGGGTGGGTGGGTGGGTGGGTGGGTGGGTGGGTGGGTGGGAA